CCCCCCCCCCCGCCCCGCCGCCCGCCCCCTCCCCCTGAGTGCCGCCCGCTGGGCCAAGTTTGCCGAGCGTCGCCGCGCACGCCGGCCAGTCAATCAGCGGCGGAGCTGAGGAGGGCACAGCCGCGCGGCCGAGGGCAGAGTGAGCCGAGCCGAGCCGGGAGAGCGGACCGGCGCCGGGCAGCCCGAGCAGCGCGCAGCGAGCGCCCGCCGCCGCCCACGCCCTCCGCGGCCCCCGCGGCGCCTGCCACCTTCTCCTCCTTCCCCGCGCCCCTGTCCCGCCGCCGGCCAGCGCAACCCCGTCCGCCGCCCCGCGGAGCCCGGAGCCCACCGGCCCGCGCCTCCTCTCCTCCACGCCCTCCGCCTCCTCCTCCTCCCCCGGCCGGGCGCCTGGCACCGGGGACCGTTGCCTGACGCGCGAGGCCCAGCTCCACTTTTCGCCCCGCGTCTCCTCCTCCCGCCGCTCTCCTCCAACTCCCTCGCCCTCTCGCTCCACTCGCGAGCCCCCGGCCCCGCGCCCGCCACTCTCCCCCGGTCCCAGAGGTGGGAGCGCGTCGGCCCCGGCCCGCGCCATGGCCCGGTTCGGCTTGCCCGCGCTTCTCTGCACCCTGGCCGTGCTCTGCGCCGCGCTGCTGGCTGCCGAGCCCAAGCCGAAAAGTTGCTCGGAAGTGCGACGGCTCTACGTGTCCAAAGGCTTCAACAAGAACGATGCCCCCACGCACGAGATCAACGGTAGGTGGGAGCCCCCGGGAGGCGAGCGCGGCGGCAGGCACCCAGGGGAAGGGGCCGCGGAGTGCCCCCCGCCCCCGCGCGGCCGCAGGTAGCCCGGGGCGAGCAACGGGCAGGCGGGAGAGGGCGTGAGAGCGAGTCGCCGCGCAGCGCGGCCCCCCCCGGGACTGCGAGTGGAGGGGCGCCGCGGACCGGCCGGTGCCACCCGGCGTCTCCTCCCGCCCCGCCGCGTCTTCCCGGTCCCAGGGAGCCCCGAGGACTCTGGCCCGCAGAGTGCGTGTCACCGGCTCCCTCGCCTTTTCCGGGTTGAACTCCTTGCTGGGCTCCCCGCTTTGTTGTGTGGGTGACGAGAGGCGGGGCATGGGGTGAGGGTCGCTAGTGGGGTGCGTGGGGGCAACCTAGAGCTTGCCAGATTCCGGGGGACGCCAAACGTGGAACTTGACTGGAGGTTTCATTGATGTTCTTTAAAAACCCTCTCCCCGCCTCTCTTCCACGGCTGACGCGGATTAGGAGTTTTAGTAGGTCCAGCGGCTTTAGAAGTCGCCTTTAAAAAGCAAACGACTTTCCAACCCACCAAACCCTGACTTTTGGAAACTCTCCTGCTTTCCGGAAGGTATTGGACGGGAAGGGTACTTCCCCCACCCCCTTTCTTTTTTCTCACCTCATTTTCAGGGTTAATTGCACATTCAATTACAAACCTTTGAAAGGACTGACTACGGGAAACCTGAATCTCAGTTTGGAGATGGTTATGCAAATGGAGAAGCCTTAGCCTGTGAAAGAGTTCACCGGATTTCGGCGCTGGGGGGTGCGTGGGGTGTTGGTGGAAGCCCTTCTCGGGGCGCCGGGGAGGCAGCTTTTCGGCGGGTGCCCTTCGCCCCTCCTCGCGAGGCTGGCGGCGGCCGGCCGGCCGGCCGGTGCCCTCCGGGTCGCAGTCTCATTCGCGGAGGGCAACTGTTGCGCGCAGCCCCGCGGGCCGCGCCGGGGCCAGCCGCGGCGCAGGTAGCCGGTTCGCCCTGAGGCTTCAGAAAGAACCACGAATCTAGCTGGCTGCTGGCCAGCGTCACCTAACGGGGAAGGGAGCGATTCGAGCCCCCCGGGGGCCAAGCCTCCATTCCGAACCTTTCTTGGAAGTGAGCGGAGCGCGCCTTTGCCTCGCGGTGCTGGTCACCCGGGTGGGGCGGGCAGGGGGCCGGCAGCCAGCAAAGGAAATACTGTAATTTCAACCAGGCGCTTCTAGAGGCTTAGGAAGACGTGGGGGTCATTTTTTGGAAGGGCTATTAATAACCTTGGAGATTAAGTGCAGTCATCAATTACATATAAATTACAAAGGTAATTGAGGGAAGTCGCCGGGCACTTTCCGAGTGTATTCGGCATCTGTCTAGAAATAGAACTCAAGAAATTGTTGGAGCAGCCTAGGAGCTCACTGCACCTTGGCAGTTACCAAATAATTCGCACGCCACTGATTAGAGACTGTTTGCCCTTGAGCTGCCTGTCTTTTTGGGAACTCAAGTATGTCCTCAGAGCGGCACGATTTTATTGGTTGTAGAGCCCTGAAAAGCCCTCTTTCTTTCCCCTCTCCCTCCCGCGCCGCCAGAAAAAGTGAAGTGAACCAGCAGCCACTGAAGCTTGGGGGCTCCACAGGTCAGACCTGGGGTCTTTGTGCCCTGCTCGGTTTGGGCCTGGGCCCAGCAGAGATGATTGGCGTGAAGGTTACAGTTGTCATTCCCACATTTTGAAGGGATAGATGCGGCGATGCACTTAATGGGAATGTGACAAGTTTTCATCTTCTGCTCCTGCAAACAATATGTGCCTTTGAGACGGACCGGAGGCATTCAGGGAGTGGGTTGTGAAATTGCCCTCCCCACTTTCTCCCACTTGGCTCGGTGTAGGCGCCTAATGGCAGGACATCTTCCCCAGCCAGCATCTCAGGAAGACGGAAGTTTGAAGGGTCCTCAAGGACTGTGCTAGGTGTTCCCTTTGATTGTTCTGGTCCCGGGCAAACACCTGAGCGATATTTTTGCATAAATGTCTATCTGGACACCCACCCCCCCAAACATAGGAGAGTTATTAGCGACCAGCAGCAGGAAATGGAAGCTAATGTGCTCACACCCAAAACATTTTATTCTTTTTGTCTTGTCCTTCATCTCCCTCCCAGGGCTGCTGCTTTTATTTCCCCTTTTGAATGACCTACTGGACTGCATTCTCCTGAGGAACAAAGGAAGTGCCTTTTTAGCTGGAATCCTTGGAAGACCACCAAGGACTTTAGCTCATGCAGTGCAATTTCGCACCACTTTCAACAATAACAAAAATGCATGACTGAATGGCTCAAAAATGTGGAGTGTTAGAGGCATTCATTTGAGCCTAGGACACTGTCACAACACAGACAGACCCAAGTAAATACCTTTAGACGGCCAGTATAGAAACAGGGGGTAATCTTTACCATCCCCCTGGCCTGTCCAGATGCATACATTAGCCTTGTCTTCCCCTGGGCTACACTCGGATAGTTTTGGTCATTTTGGGGAGCATAGTCAATATAGTGACTTGTATTCAGATTCAGCTCATGTCTGAATGAATGGCCAGGCACTTTCTCTGGCCAGAGGTGTGTGTGTGTGTGGGGGGGGGGGGGGGGGGG